ATCTCTAAGTACCATTTATGACGAAATATATCAAAAATACCCTACCTACCCTTTTATTTCAAAGAATCTGTCAATATGTCAACGTATATTTGTTCAACCTAACAGAAGATTAACGGGAAACTTTGTTTTAAAGATGTCATAATATCTGTTACTGTTGGAAAAAATATTCTATACCCTTTTATTTGTTCCAGTGGAAAAAATATTACAGAATAGTTCTTCCATTTGAAACTTAAATTACTAAGTAACTTCTGTTCTATGACAAAATAGCTAAACATTGTGATTTAAATACTTACAGTAAAAATATACAATTCAGTGTGGTACATTTTATTATTATTCTGTTTTTGCGCATTACACGATCAGTCACATATGATGATTTTATTATTAGTGAAATATTTGAAAAAGGAAACAGTAGATTAAGTATGCAAGAGGCACCGTGGTCCAGGAATAGTTATAGTAGGAACTCAGTATCACAAGAGTAACAGAAGTATTCAATCAGAAGTTCAGCTGACTACTAGAAATTTGTTCCCTTATTACTTCGATATACCGTGATGGGCTCCGAAAAAAATATACAAGCTTTGCTTTATTATAGGATACTTCAATATACTGTGGTGGTCTTCGAAAAAAAAACTATACAAGCTTTTTTATTACTGGAGACTTCGATATGCCGTGGTGGCTCCGAAATAAAATATACAAGCTTGGCTATTAATGGAGAGTTCGATATTCCGTGGTGGGCTCCAAAAAAAAGCTTGGCTATTAATGGAGACTTCGATATACTGGGGTGGGCTCCGAAAAACGATACAAGCTTAGCTCTTAATGGAGACTATGTGGCAACGTAGGTAAAATCATTAAGTTAAATTCTTGTCGATAGTTAACAAAAAAGATGTTCTTGTTTTCATTATCTATGTGGTTTGGCACCCGCTAAGACCGGTATTGGTATTTGCAATACTGACTACATTATAAAAAAAAACCCACAGTATTCCTAAGTTTCTGATATATGGCTATCTATTATACCCTGTTTGGTATTAAACTTCAAAAAACTTTGTGCCTGAGCATTTTTCTCTGCTTTTATTGTTTACAAATCATTAGTTAGATTTCATAGTTTTCTAATCTCATAATTTGCATAGTAACTGTCCACTGGTAGTTTACCTACCGATTTGTTATTTAATAAAAATCAAAATATACCACACTTTGTTTCGATGGAAATGATACATAGTTTCTGGAACGCAAAAAAACAATAGCTGGAAATAAAAAATGTAAAATACTCGAGAACGAGGAACTTAGAAGGCTGGTTAATACTATTTCTTATCACTTTTTCTAAGGAACTTTCATGCCTGAAAAAAGTACACACATGTAATCAACTTTTTTTCCAATATTATCTTTTAATTTGAGTACAATCTACTATCGTCTATTTTTCCTCGTATCGACAATACTGTGTTTCCAAGTGAGAAGCATATTTAATTCTTTAATCATTAACTGCATCAGGAATATAACGTTTGTTATGTATGTGTAGTATCAAATAAAAGAATATTTATTCATTATGAATTTACGCTGTTATGACCCAGTCCTAAAAAAGGAATTCAAAAAACATATAAGAAAGAAATTTAAAACAAAAATGCATAATGATTCATTGTATATGAGAGAGAGAGAGAGAGAGAGATTTAGCAAATATTTTGTTTTCGGATATGATGTTAACGACAAAAGGAAATAGAAAACCTTATGCACATGTTCAACAAACTTGAGTAGGACAGGATGAGGTTTAAGTTTGAGAGATGTGTGAATTTTAAGTGGTAAATATAAAACCGCGTAACCTTAACACATATTAAGTAAAAAGTACTTTAAAACAGATAAAATATATTTTGTTTGTTTTGGCTGTGAAGTTACATCAGGACAGGAATCGGGTTTAATCAATTAAACATATTTTTATGAAATGATGAATTGTAAAGTGATAATCCCCCCAAAAAAGTTGAAAATAAGAATTTTGTATTTAATAAATCCAGAATAAATTAAGTTATATAGGCATTAAAATACTATATAAACAAAATTACAAAATTTATGATTGCATAACGGAATGTTCTAATACCTTAAAATGCTATGCTCAATAGAAAAGATAAATACATATATGTTTAGTTTAAGCATGTACATTATATCAACCTTATAACTTAGATAAAGACATACATGATTATTTTAAGCCTGTACATTATTTCAAACTAAAAAATTACATTCGTTAAATACTCAAAAATTTCACAATATACAAATATTCAAATGAATACAGAAAAATGTGACTACATGCGATAACTACAGAATGACCAAAATCTAGTCGAACTTGCACATGGATCATGTGATTACTATAGTTTTTGCACCCTTGTTATTCTGTTGTGTAATCATGTCATTATAGTTTTTTACACCCTTGTTATTCTGTTTTGTGATCATGTCATTATAGTTTTTTACACCCTTGTTATTTTGTTTTGTGATCATGTCATTACGGTTGTTATCACACCTTAGTTATTCTGTTGTGTGGTCATGTGATTATGATTGTTATCACACCTTAGTTATTCTGTTGTGTGGTCATGTGATTATGATTGTTATCACAACTTTGTTATTCTGATTTGTGATCATGTGATTATGATTGTTATCACGCCCTTGTTATTCTGTTTTGTGATCATGTGATTATGATTGTTATCACACCTTAGTTATTCTGTTTTGTGGTCATGTCATTATGATTGTTATCACACCTTAGTTATTCTGTTTTGTGGTCATGTAATTATGATTGTTATCACACCTTTGTTATTCTGTTTTGTGGTCATGTGATTATGATTGTTATCACGCCCTTGTTATTCTGTTTTGTGGTTATGTCATTATGATTGTTATCACACCTTAGTTATTCTGTTTTGTGGTCATGTCATTATGATTGTTATCACGCCCTTGTTATTCTGTTTTGTGGTCATGTGATTATGATTGTTATCACACCTTTGTTATTCTGTTGTGTGGTCATGTGATTATGATTGTTATCACACCTTTGTTATTCTGTTTTGTGGTCATGTGATTATGATTGTTATCACAACTTTGTTATTCTGTTTTGTGGTCATGTCATTGGGATTGTTATCACACCTTTGTTAGTCTGGTAATATGTGACAACCCTTAGAACCCTTAAAACCGAAATGTCTTCTATTCTAAATGATTGTTACCAAAATTCAATTTGAATCTGCTTACAGTAGATGATAAACGTCCTGAAATTTATATCAGTTAAACAAAAAGAAAGAAGAGAAAAGAGAAAATTTCAGTATTAAAAATATAAAGGTGTTCAAGGTCATTTCCACATCATTTTCACAACAAGGTTTTTTCAAAACGTCTTTCAACCTTTAGTAAATTTCACAGTTCGGTCGTTGAAATATATGCAGATCTTGTAATGCTGGTCATTTTTGCCATATACGTTTCATCTTTTAATTTTGTTTTGAAATAATAGACAAAAATATGAAAATTAGCTAAAAATTGTCATGTATGTGCAATAACTTCTTTAATGAGTCATCTGGTAATTTTGGTGACATTAGGAAGAAGTGAGATCTTGGACATTTTGATCACTTTTGGTTTGTCAGATTTTCTCTTTCTACTATTGTTTTCAAGATAAAGACAATACGGCCCAAGAACTAGTATTGTTTAGGTTATGTAGTTCCGACAATTTGTTTTTATATTGATACGCCGAGACAACACAAATTACTGCGCTTTCCAAACTTTTCTTACTTTCAAAATAAACATTTGATTAACTATGGAGAAAATGTTCAGCAGGTCGTCTATTATAAAAAAACATCATAAATTCACATATATGTCGTTCAACAAGTCAACGGGTAAAGAAGTCAACTGGCCAACTGGGGCACACATTAAATAGTATAATTTTAACTAGTTTTATGTCTACAACAATTTGGTCAACAATTTTAAAAGTCTATATGTCAGCAAGTCAACAGGTCAAAAAATTACTCAATTAAACATGTTGATATATCAGAAAGACGACAAGACAGTAGACTATAAGATTGTCTTGATAAGCAGATCAACAGGTCGACAAGTCGACAATCTAGTTGTCAATGGTTATTTAGTAACGGATTTTAGAGGAAAAAAAGAGGGTGGACTAAACCAAAATGGTCCTGTCTCCAAGAACCTATGTTAAATTCCAATTAGTTCCAAGTTAACTACTTAACAGCAGCTATAACATAAATGAAGTGATATAACCAACACATTATCCACGAACAAAAACCGTCAGTTGAAATACATTAAAACGCATTTTGATATAGTTTATTCTAGCAAATTAATAGATTTATCAAGGCAGACCTTAAAAAGTAAAAGGCCAAAATCCAAAACTAATTACCTTCTCCTTGAAATTATGATTATTTGTTTATTTCTTGATTTCGACTTTGAATGTTAATATTGGATATAATGCATTATTTCGGAGAAGTATTATATAAATGAGGCACAGCTGAAAGGGTGAAAGAGCTGATTAATACCCTGAAAAAAACCGTTCGAGGCGAAGCCGAGGTTGACAGCATTATTTTGAAGAGTAGTAACCTGCTTTGGCTCCATCTCCCATATTTGTTATGCAATTTATTATACTGAAAATTTTTTAATATTGTTTTTCGAATAATGGATTTTTGCTATGCCATTTTTTTATAGATAAAAACTAAATGGAAACATACAATTAATTGTTACCGCCGAACTATTTGTAACACCAAAACGTTATCTTTGTATTAACACGAAAAAAACCCATCAAGAACCCCCCCCCCCCCCCCCACAAAAAAAAAACAAACAAAAAAGCAAACAAAACAACAACACAAAAAAAAAAACAAAAACAAAAACAAACAAAAACAAACAAAACAACAACACAAAAAACAAACAAACAAACAAACAAACAAACAAAAAACAAAACAAAAAAGGACAAAAAAAACCCAAAAAAACCTAGAGTAATAATTTAAAATTTTCAACTGCAGATTGATTTTATTTACATTTACTTACAGAGAGGTCAAAACATGGAAAATGAAGAAGAACATTATCCGTCCTACAATCATTGTGTCCATACTACTTGTTATATTTCTTACAATGGTGATGATGAAGGTTGATAGATCGAAAATGGTCACACAGTTTTTACCATTTAATCAGACAAACTTAGAACCAAAGAAACAGGTAGCTTCAGATACATCTCAGGATTCATGGAAAAATGCAAAAAGAAAGGAAACATATAAGGATGTATGGACAAATACAAATAGAAGTCTCACTGTTGTAACAGCATTTTTTAATCTCGGGAAATTTCCGAAAGGTTCATTTTCAAATATCAGAACACCGGAGTCATACAAGGTTTGGATGTCTGTGTACAAATATCTTAAAAATCCATTAATAATTTATACAGATTCCAAAAAGTTTGCCGATTTTTTTACAGAACTACGAAACAATTCAGCATTTACCACAAAAATAATAATATTCTCTAGAGATGACCTATGGACATTCCACATCAAACCACAAATAGCAAAACTTTATTCCAAACCGGGATACCCAAAGCACTATCCGAATACATACATACCGGATTACACATGTATGACTCATTCAAAGCTGACTCTGGTTGCAAAAGCAATTAATTCAAAACTACTGGCATCAGACTACTATTCTTGGATAGACTTAGGCTATTTCCGTGATATTTCTAGTCGTAAAAAATATTTCTATTTAGAAGTTCCTACTGATTTTGACAATTCCAAAGTTGGTGTCACTCAAGTATATAATGTACCTTTAAAGAAAGTTTCAGCAAGATCTATCATACTCGGAAATAAGAATTGGATAGGTGGTGGACTATTTTTAGGAAAACCAGACGTTTTAAAAAAGTTTGAATCTCAATATAAAGATAGAGTTTTGTATTATTTGTCACAGGAACTGATGAACGTAGAACAACATATTTTATATTCAATGTACACAGCTGAGGAGAGAAAGAAAAATCCCATTACCGTCGAAGTTCAACCATACCTACCAGGGAAACAAAAAGTTCTATCCGGTGATCCATGGTTTTATTTAGGATTTTTAATGTATAATGAAAACATCAACGCGTCATATCGGTCGTAAATAAACCAAATATCGTGGTATCTCTATGTAAGTGTTGCTTCGTGCATAACCATCCCAGGTCAAATGTTGTTGCTTGGTAAATTAAATCAACACATGATTGTTACCAAACTTTCATTTAAATCTGCTAACAGTACATAATAAACATCCTGAATTTATATCATTTTAACGGAAAGAAAGAAAAGAAAAGAGAAAATATTTATAGTAAAAATATAAAGATTAAGGCTATTTCCACATAATTTTCACAACAAGGGCATTTTAAAAACGTCTTTCAGCCTTTACTAAAATTCACAATTTTCAAATTCATGTTGTTGCATTAATTGAGTATCAAAAAATATTGTGACGTTTAACATATAAACAAATTTTCAGATTGTTCAGCAATACAATTTTGATAGGTTTTTAGCATTTATAAAGTGATTAGAAAAAAAGAATAAGAAGAACGGTCCATTCTAAAACCAAAATTATGTTGGAAGTAAAGCGATGAATTATAAGAATTCAGTGTAGTTCCAGATGCAACCCGGTGCTCAATTTTACAAAATAACTAGTGAAACATGCCTCAGATCCATAAGTTGTTTTCTCTGGCTTTGTTCTAATGTCGTACTGTTACACCACTGTGCCAGCTTAGGGGATGGTTTGGCGCCTGCAAACATATTTAATCCCTCCACATTCTGTATTTGCCTGTCCCAATTCAGGAGCCTGAAATTCTGTGGGTGTCGTTTGTTACTGGATAACATATTTGTTTTTCGTTTATTGTTTTGCGCATAAATCAGGCCGTTAGTTTTCTTGATTGAATCGTTTTACACTTGTCATTTCGGGGCCTTTATAGCTTTCTATGCGGTATGGGTTTTGCTCATTGTTGAAGGTCGTACGGTGACCTATAGTTGTTAACTTTATGCCATTTGGTCTCTGGTGGATAGTTGTCTTATTGGCAATCTTACCACGTCTTCTTATTTTTATATAAAATGAATTGTTTTGTGTTTATTGCTGATATTTTGGTTGCTTTTGCGTGCTTCGTATCGATCTATTGATTTTAGCCATTTGCACTTGATTTTTACAGTTTGTTCTTATGTTGTGCTGATACAAATGCACACCATTGGGCCAGGTTAGGAGGAGGGAGGAGTGCTAACAAACATGTTTTATCAACCACATATTGTATATGCCTGTCTGAAGTCAGGAGCCTGTAAGTCAGAGGTTGTCGTCGGTAAATGTCTGTCATGTTGGTTTTCTCGTTTGAATTGTTTTTCATTTTTCTAGTCTGGTTTTTTTTAGCGAACTATATGGTTTGGAATTTCTCATTGCTGAAGGCTGTACGGTGACCAATAATTGCTTACATCTACGTCATTTGAACTCTGGTGGATAGTTGTTTCATTGGCAATCATACCACATCTTTGAATTGTATTAATAAATAGCTTTCCTTCTGAACCGAGTTCAGTTTTGATTACGAATGTTCTTCTAAAAGATATTCAGGATAAATGGTAAACATTTGACAAAATATGTCCAAGTATCCGTTCTCGACAACTACAGGCATTTTCAAATTGGTCATCTGATTAGAAAATAATCACCAAAGATATCAGGCTTATCATTTGGTACGCTAGTCTACATCAGTGCACTCGAATCAAAACATTTGGACATTATACTGTTTGAACCTCAAAGTGCACATGGTAAGGTGTCATACTCAGAATTTTAGAAAAGATTAGAAGACATTTTTTTTGAGAATCAAATAAATTCAGGAGAAATTGGCTCTACCTCTTTGTAAGCTCAAATTACACCCAGAGAGGAGTCATTAAAGCCCCTATTTCGATTATAAATTTCAACATTTTAAATAAAAGTACCACAATGAATCATGATAGTTATAACAATTACTAGATACATCTATTTTTGAATATTTACTCATGTTATTGGTACTGAATTCACGTGGTACATACATTTGTATTGATCAATATTCTTTAAATAATGTAGCATTATGTCAATTTTATTTTCTATCAGATTAGTTGAAAACAGGCCAATTTCAATTGGTTTTCAGGACCGTAAACAAACAGAGCATGCATCTGCATGTGCCTAACAAAAAAAAAACACTAAGTCTTATACAGTGCATCATTATGCTTATAATATTTGATTTGAAAGTTTTGTTTGTCCATCACTGGATGAAAATTATTTTGGTTAGTCAAATTTTTACCAAAATATCTTTTTTACCCATTCTATATGTATAAAAGTTGATCTCAGTCTTTCAATGAAACTTGAAAGACTTTTCATATAGAAATAATAGACTCAAAATTGGGGCCTAATATCGCCCTTTACATTTTTTAGTCTGCATGTATCCCTTTGTCAGCTATAATATAAAAACACAGCTTGGTTTGATATTCTATATCACATTTAAGGAAGACTTTTAACTGACAAAATATTTATCCTTGTATACAATTGTCATGATTTTTCGCAAGAAAAAACATACATACATGTGTAGGGGTTCATTTCATCTGGTCTTAGTGAAGGTTGTCTATATACGGCTTTCCCAAACATAAATCAATATATATCCCCGTCATTTGCAATCTGATGGATGGTTGTCTCACTGGAAATCATACTACACTCCCCTTATTTTTATATAAACCTACATGCTTGGAAGGATATTAATGTTCATCATGCCTTAGGTACGATATTTGTATTAAGCTGTGGGGAAGTTATTTCCATGGTTTTGTACACAATACTTTCCTGTAAAACTTTCTAACATAATGGATGGTTTTCATTTCCATTATGTCTTGGGTGGAAATTATGTTACGAGGTCACAATATATATTAATTGTCATAATCATCCAAGCAAGACCACTCAAAATCAAATAGTTGATCAATGCTGATACTACATTTTGTCACTGACCCAAGTTACACCACCCCATAAAAAGCTTGATATAACTCTTAATTTAATGGTTACCATGTATGTATGTTTTTTCTTGCGAAAAATCATGACAATTGTATACAAGGATAAATATTTTGTCAGTTAAAAGTCTTCCTTAAATGTGATATGGAATATCAAACCAAGCTGTGTTTTTATATTATAGCTGACAAAGGGATACATGATGCCATATAAAGTTTTAAAGGGACATAACTGAAGAACTGTAAAAGTGACACTACCCAAATTTGTAGTTGATCTGACTTTTCTGGTAATAGGTATTGTGTATAAGTTTCATAATATATGGTTGAGGCAAACTTAAGTAAGAGAACGGAAACTTTTATGTTTGTAAAGGGGCATAACTCTAGAACAGTAAACGTTACACAACCAAAATTCGAACTTGATCTGTGTTTTGTGGTAATAAGCATTGTGTAGAAGTCTCATACCATTTGGATGAGGAAAACTAAAGTAAGAGAACGGAAATGAAAAATTCAGCAATTTTCATTTGAAAAGGGGCATAACTCTAGAACGGTTAAAGTGACGCCACCAATTTTAAACTTGATCTGTATTTTGTGGTTATAAGCATTGTGTATAAGTTTCATAACATTTGTTTGAGGCAAACTTAAGTTAGAGAACGGAAACCAACTCAACACCAACACCGCTACGTAAGGGGCATAAAAAGAAATGGATTCCAAGACGTATACTTTCTTAAAGAATGATAATGATTCAAAACATGGACACATGTACCTTCTTTCAAAAATTCATAAAATAAATCTAAACATAATTAATGAGGCATTGCGAACTGGTCAGATAGTAGGAGACATTAAATGTTCCTTACCGACCAATTATCAATAAGTGTAACTCTCCCACGAGACGCATTGAGAGATTTCTTGATCTAATTATAAAACCATTATTGATTTTACATTCGATATACAAAAGATTTCATTAATAAAATTGAGTCACACGAGGTCAAAAAAGCATATAAACGCATGCCAACAAAAATACCTTGCGAGGTAGTAGTTGGGAGACTTTTGAAAAGGGACCCATCATGGCTTAAACAATTTTAAGCAAAAAATCCCGAAACACTGATAAAATTCTGAATTATAGGCAACAAACATTTATTTAGTAGCAAAAACGGTTTAAAGTCTTGAGATTTATTACGTATGTTGGTTGAAGGAACCGCATTTCATAATAAGTTTAAATTTTAAAACACAAATTCAGATATATTTATTAAAAAAATGTTGGTCTCAGTATATTATGTATTTTCAATCTTAATTCTTATATTGATAAATAATTGCTTAAACAAATACCCGAACGTAAGATTAAATACACTCTTTTTCGAACTTTCCAATGTTTACAGAATCCATTGTATGCTTATTCAGTGTAAAAATCTAGAGTTAATTGTTTTGTGTATTTGTATTTTTTTTCTCTTTTGCATAACATATCTTTTAAAGACCTCATGAAAGATTAACATGCAATTGTTACATCTTTTTCCTTATTTAAAAAATTATATAATATATTTTTTATTATTAAGAATATGATTATTTCCTGGGAATATTAACAAACAGTCTTTATTTTATTTGTTTTATTTTCAGTTTTTGAAACGGACATTTTTGTTTATCGGATTTGTCAAAATGACATGTGCATAAAATTTATTGTTACAAATCAACAAATACCAAAGCCTACTAGAACTCATTATGTGGAAACCACAACACCATTAATATCTGACACTGATGTTCGATACCATAGGTTGTTAACTTTCACTTGTTTATCAAACGTTGCAACTGTCAACTTTGCTCAAGTAAACACTTACGATGCATAAATATAGCTTTATCATACATGTTTGGAAGTGATCTATAGATACATTTAGTTTATTATCATATATCAGATAAGAGAATAAGCGATTTGTGACAATTTCTTTATTGCGACGTTTTAAATATCTCAGGTACCCCCGTATGGAGGTGCTCTTAATTGCAGGAGGCTAATACAGATAAGATGAATAAGTGTTCCGAATGAAAAATAAATTAGCTTCCGATTATTCCTCCATAGACTATATCAACAGTACCCATCAGCGTGTGTGAAAACAGAACCTATGTCAATTAAGAGCCGGAAGTGAAAATAGAACCATATGTTACACATGCGTTATAGCCTACTTATAGACATATATATCTACCCAAAAGATAATGTGAACTGTCACGATACAGGACTTATTATCAAATTAAGTAGCTGATATAAACACACTTTCTACACAATTATCAATGGACATCATTAAACTGCT